CAACCCTCTGAATGTTCAGTGGTGGGTTCAAATGCAGTAATTTCACATGTTTCATTAATTTATCATCTCTTGAATTTGCCTAGTGTCTGTAAACCAGCTTCGGAGCAGAATACATCAAACCCTTATTGGCCAACATTGCAGGAGCAGCAAATGAAAGAAAGATGCAGATAAAATTCAAGACTGGGCAAACACCCGGCAGATGATGTGTAATGTGGGCAAATACAGGTTTTTGCATGAAGTTAATAGATCAATTATAAATATAAATTGGGGGGAAGGAGCTGTAAGAAGTGAGATGTGAAAAAGACTCTGGTGTTCATATTGACACATCTTGAAAACAGAAGACTAGGAGAGGACCTTATACCAGTATTCAAAATCCTCAGTCTCTGGTGAAATCAGCTGTGTGGATGATGTGACTGATGATGGCAGCAGCAGAATGGATCTGATCTTTACAAACATATCTTCCCTGCTCATGTTGGCAGTGCAGCCCAGGAGGTCATCAGAGTACAGTGGACAGTCTTAGACTGGCCAGCTCAATCTCGAGTTGCATTACATGCTGGAAAACAAACAGGTCAGCACAGCTCAAGAACAGGTGAGAGCTAAGAGGCTGCAGAAAACCTCTCCAGTGATCGTGCTAAGCTGCTTAAGCTCAGTGGATGAAAGACATGCAGTTATTGCCTCAAAAAATGTATAACAGCAAATAATGACTATTACACTCTGGAGTTACCTGAAAGTGTCTCAATAGGTAGGGTCACCTGCAATGGCTGTAGTGAAAGAAGGTGACGCATTTGTGAGTGTCCCTGCTAGACATAGAGATACCTGCCTTTATTCTAGTTGTTTTTCTGTGCTCTCAGATAAGCCACTGCCCCAGTCACAGCCAGGACCACCCACAGAGCAGACCCCAGGAACAGCATAGTGTCTGGACTGGTCACTGTTAGAGCTGTTTTTATTATCTGTTACAGAGAGAGAGATTAATACACACAGAACATTAACAAGACAGTGTGACTGTTGAGCCTGAATTACTATTACAATATATTAAAACTGCACTGCAATAGAAAAAGAGTTTCTTACAGCTTACAGTACAGACATATTGAATAGATTAACACGTTAGTTGCACATTGACTCAGGAAACAGTTGACTCTCCTGGAGCATTCTGGGACTGTTTATCTGGGTGTTACATCCCCGTAATGGCTCAGTCTAGGGGCGACTGGGGACTAACATATGAGACAGGGTTTAACGGAACGAAATGCACGAACAAAAAACATTACACTTTACTACAACCCAATACCCTCTAAACCTGTCTCCCGAGAAAGGGGGTGACAAAGCAAAAGCAAAGTCTTCTGCAATATATCTGTCTACTTTATCTAAATTAAGCTATAACGGAAAACTAAAAGAAAACACCACAGCCAAGAAAACAAATCCAGTAAGTCTCGTGTTTTCACTGTTTCTGCTTCTAACCCCCTCTTCCACACACCCTCTCCAGACGTCTCGTGCAAACATTTAAAACCGGACCACTCTCCTCAATCCATCCAGAGAGAGACCCAATTTAGGGACCCACCCACCTCCAAAAATAGACCCCTGCACAGGAGGGGAGTCAAAACAAACAGAACGTAACAAAGGTTAAAGGTGAAAGGGCTTTGACAGAGTTGAGACACAACTGGGCCACTGCTCCTAGATGATGGATGATGTTTGTGCTGGGCATTTTATACTTTAATACTTTTGCCCACTACTACTGATCACCCGATCAGTTCAGGATCAGAAAGCAATGGGGGTGTTCCTATGTGAAAGATCGATGAGTGTGGCTTGACCGTTAGGTGGTGTATAACGTGTGTGTGAATCGATGTGCAGTATTCGGTGAGAAAGTGGAAGTCCCTGGAGACGGGAGTCCAGGAGACCTGAGTTGGCTGCACCTCTGTAGTGGATGGACAGTGCAATCCTGCAGTGCACTGTGTAAATACACTGAAGTATTATCGTTATTTTCTTCAATGAAGACGGATTCTCAATGCATCCCCAGTGGCCAGAATTGTTACAGATCTGTTTCAGAAAAAGAACAGCTGACAAGGAAAAAAAAAGAGACCGCTTCAAAACCGACAGCTGGACACACACCGTACAGTATGTAATTCCAGGATGTACTCGCTAGCTCCCTGTTGTGATGCTGAGTTAGTTCTAAACTGCAGTCAGAGGGCCGCATCACCTTCTGACTTCTGAGAGTGCGAAACACTGTCTTCCTGCCACGAGAGAGTTTTCAAAGCTGCAACTATTTCTTTCATTTTTTCTAAAAGAACTACAGTTATATTCGCTGAATGACCTTTTAAAGTCATTTTTTGGGTATTAAGCATGTGTCCTCAAGATTGAGAAGAGTTGAAAATAAACAAACACACAGGCCCAGACAGGACCTGAACACTGGGAATTCAAATTAAAACTCTGATGCCACCCTGAAAATATAAAGATCTTATTATAGAGATTATCGTATTATTAAATTGAGTAGACTATTGTCTCATGTTTGTTAAGTTCCCTTGGCACAATGGATAGTGTTTTGTACTTATAGACAATGAGAGAGCTAAGTCATTCATAGTTTGTGGGTTTGAGTTCCACAACAGTTGAATTCATTGAATCTACCTACTGTATTTAAAATTTAAAAGGCACTGACAATGTTTACCCAGCAGAGTTTGTCTTGATTTTCCCCAAAGGGAAATTTTCCAACACAGCCATACAAAACAGAACATCACCACCAAAGAGTTCAGGACGAGAGTGCTCCGGGAGATTAGAGTAATTTTACATTGTGTGAGAGAGACTGCAGAGGGGATGAGAGATTTCCTGGGTTTGTTTCTGCTATGCATTGGGACAGGTGTGTCCGGAGAGGAGGAGTTGGAATTCACAGTGGAGGGGTGAGACACACTCCTCAGTGCTCTTGCCCTTCTTCATTACCCTCTGTTTGTAGAGGATATTTATGTTGATTTGCCCCAGTGATTTTGCTGCTTATCTTCGCTAATTTTCCCACCCTCTTACAATTAATGGTACTGATGTTATCAAACCAAAAAGGGAGACAGTATGTTAAGACACTTTCTATAAATGGCTTATAGAAAAGTGTTAAAATAGTTCTGTCCAACTTAAAGAAGCTAAATATAAGAAAACGATGTCTGTTGGTCTTTTTCTAAGAATAGTCCCTCAACATCTGTCGCATCGTAAGTTTTAATCAGTCCTAAGTAATTGTAATCATGGACAAACTTCTTTTGAACTTACTGTAGACTGTGAGAATGAAGTTATTGATAAAGCGATTTGGTTTTGTTGACTCCAGTTCAAACTCCCCAAAGTCCTGCACAATTAGATTTCTGATGGTGATCTGTCAAATATATACTCTCCCTCTGAAGCTTGTTTCATAGTCAGTGTCACTGACATTATTTTGGACAGTTATAACAGTGCCTAAGAGTCTTTGTCTTAAATTCCCTGACTGTGTTATTACATCAGGGAAGGTGAAGGAGTCTCCTGCAGTGAGTCTGACCTGATGCTGTTCCTCAGACTGGGATACAGAGAGCCAAGGACCTGGGACACAACAGAGGAACATAAGAGGTCTTAAACTTACAAGGGGTATTGCTGACTGCACTTAACTTTCTAACAAATAATACATTTTACACTTCCTATATACTGTACATATATCTGTGTCTGTAGGAGACCTGACGAAATGAATCTATTACTACAAGAGTGAAATATCCAGAAGACAGAATGGGAGTTGATCTTTTGTCATATTTTTGAATGCATGTGTTTCTACTGACTCTTTGTTACAAGAACAGCCCATAACGATCAGTCTCAGGAAGCCAATTTCCTAAATCTTTAGGGCCTAGAGAAGCAGAGGACCAGAGTGCAAACTACAGGGAACCTAATGTAACACTGAGAACTGGAAGTGCGTCTCTGTACAGTACAAAGGGTTGTGGGAGTATGGAACAAGCTGCCCAGCCATGTTGTTGCTTCTCAGGCTCACAGTATCACAGTCAAACAGTGTGATACAAACACAACTGCGGTGTCTCTCTCGCACACAGTGCGACTGACCACATCCTGGACGCTCGGAGAGCTTCCTGCTTCAGTCTGGCAGGTTTCACTCAGTGACCACCAGCTGAGGAAAGAGTCAAGAGAAGAGAGACATTGTTTTCCACTCACTGGGGGGGCAGGGCAGCGGACTCAAAGGCTCATCCCTCCAAGCTGCTCTTTAAAGGGATCCACAGACATACAGTATATAGATTTATAAGTAAGGATTAGACATAGGGCCTTTTCCACTGGTTTAACTAATTCAGCATTTTCTCAAGTGAAGCAGATAGAACCAAGTTCAAGTTAAGTCTTTTTCACGGAGGCAGACCCCAGTGGAAGTTATCCCAGTTACAGCCACAGGCTTAAACTATCTGACTAACTGCGCATTCACACTGCACTTCAAAAGGCAGGAGGGTCGAGCATCGAGTCTTCACCCCTGCCAGCCAAAGCAAGTTAAAAGAACATACTGTAAGCCTTAATCCCGTGACCATGAACAGCTCCTTATGGACAACTATGAGCATAAAGTCTGTTGTACTTGCCAGGAGCTACTGTACTGTAGCCTCTGCAAAAGCCAGAGAAGACGTCTGGCAAAGACTCGTGGATAAATCGAATGTGGAAGTTAATTATGAAATCCAATGAAATATCTCAAGATAAAGCAGACTACAAGATGTGCACAAGCAAGCATGCGCTGACATTACTTAATTTATATTGCTAAGATATTGAAGTGGAGCTCCACTTTAAGCCATGGTGTGGTTGTACAATATCGTTTTGCGCAGCAGTCATTTCTGCATTTACAGTAGCTGGACCTCAATGGGAAGACAAAATACAAGAATATCATCCACAGCTGTCCTGTACAGTACGCAATATCCATAAAATTCAATTGCAATAATATAAAAATACTGTACAGGATATTGTCGAAAACTTCATTTTCGTGAAGTTTGTAGCAGTTTTGTTTGGATTCTTTTTTATATCGCATCTGTCTTGATCCGTCTTTAATCGAAAAGCGTTTAACCTACAGCAGCAGGGCGACCTCTGTTTGACACAGGTGCGAGTGACCCTGTTAAGGCTGGAGATGAAGATGCGGCAGATGACTATGGCGCTGTGGTCAGTATTGGCACTGCTGGCGTTGAGTTTGTTTGTTTTGCTCGTGTTTGCATGGGTTTCCTCCAGGTGCTCAGATATGCTGGTAAGTTAATTTTCTCCTGGGATAACTGGCGTGTGTGCGCATGCGCGTGTTCCTGTGTGCTCTGTAGTGGACTGGCGTACCATCCAGGGTGCAGCCTCCCTAGAACCTGTTGCTTGCTAGAATTGGATTCCCTGTTGCTACCTTGCATTGGATAAAGTGGTTAGAAGATGGATTGATCCACTTTACCACTACTTCCTGGGAATGGGGACAGACAATCAGCTCATCACCCGGGAGTTTGAACCAGGCAGTGAGACTGCTGAAGAAGAAGGCAACAAACACCCCACAGGAATATATAAACACACAGTTCTATAAGAACATCCTCCACAGACAGAGAAAAACCCCTAACAATGAGTGCAGGGTTGAATGTGGCCAATACCCAGAAGAGAGGAATGAAACATGAACTACAACTGAAAAACGGAGGCTGGAATTCCTACAGTACTACCACAAGGCCCTGCAGAGCCAAGAGCTGACCCCAGAGAGGAGCTGCCTGAAGCTCACTGACACCAGCCAGCCTCAGGACAGCACAAATCAAAGTCAACCAAATCACAGCACCAGCCAGACAACACTGGGACACACACACGAACACCACACACCACATTTCAGATTTAGCACACAGCTACGTACTAAGTTGTGGACTAGTTATTATGGTGCTGTTTGGAGATCATCTCCAGCTTTAGGTCTTTTGCACTGAAAAGAAACATGCAGAACAAAGCTGGAGACCACCTGAACTTGTGGCCAGTACAGTCCTGAGTGCTCAGCATTGCTGTTGTTCTAATTGGCACGAACAGCAGGGGGCACTGAATCATTTCAATTAATCTGATCAGTGAGTTTATATGTAGGCCACGTTAATATACAATTATTACTTTTTCGGTTTTATATATAACTGGATGTCCCTGACAATTTAATGTTATTTTTTTAAAACTTTACCAGGTGAGTGTACATAACTGCTGATGCTACAATGTGTGTAGGCTACATTGTATCTAATGCTATAAAGGTAAGTTTTATGTGCTTTGCGGGCTTCTGTTTGTTGCACTTTATCCAAGAGTTTTTTTCTTTAATGTGCCTTTACAACTAATTCTCTGGTCCCCCAATTCCTCAGTATCCCTGCTTCCCTCTGAGAACCACAAGTGTGGAGCAGCATTACAATACAAATACAACAAGTCTATTCATGTGAGGACCCCTTGTGACAGAACACATTTAAGACTTACACTCCATTTATAGATATATTTCCTTCATTTCAGTTCTTTTCTCTCCCCAGAATATCTGAACATACTAAAGGCTCTACAAGCGTTTGCTGTAATACAGCTACTAATAAAGATCTTTGATCTCCTGTCAGGAACAGTGAGCCTGTCTCCCAATAATATTTTCAGTTTTCTGTGATGAATGTACATGTCCAATAACATGCATATAGTGTAAATGTTGTTGATTGTAAATAATTTGTCTGCATTGTAATTAATCAGTCATGCTACTAGAACATCGAATTTGAATTGGAGTTCACTCGTTACTGTAATATAACCCTCTTACTGTCTTGTCTCCCCGCCTCTCTCTCTCCGTGATGCTGTTGGAGACAAAAGCGCTCAGGCGAGTACAGACATGGAGAGCTCTGGGCTCCGGCAGCTTCTACTGCTGATCTGCTTTTTCTTAGGTAAGACGGAACCGATACACCCGAGGTATTCGGGCCATTGCGCAATGAAATCCTTGGTTTGTAATTATTCTTATTGATTGAGTGAAAGGGAACGAGCGATCACTCGTTTAACAGGACTCGCCAGGAGCGGATCCAACTGTAGTGTAGGACTGATCTCTTCACTGAGCGAGAACCGGCTCTTAGTCCCGTCCTTTCATTAACGTAACCGTGCAAGTTCTAAAACGTTCAGTGAGATCCACATGTATATTTTTTCTTCACGTTTGTTTAAATTATTTGCGACTTCGAAATAGCCCATCTTTCACTGTATGCCCTTTTGTTAGTGTAACGGATTCGGGTTCTAGGGCTTGCGCACTCGTGTTAATAACGCCAGACCAACATCTTCAAAGTCATTATTTTTTTCTCTAAAATTCAATTGCAATAATATAAAAATACTGTACCTCTCCTATATACTCAGGTATCCCTCCCGACTTTTCAAATGCGGTCAGCCTAGGTGTCCCTTTAGTGCAAAAAGGGTACCATATATATATATAGAAAAAAATAAATATGTTGGAAAAAAACGGAGCCTTCAGAAACCCGGTGACTGAAATGTCAGGGCGCGCATACAATTGTATTCCTATTGTTAAGAGCCTGAGGTCACCTGCAAGCTTGAGTTCGGACAGTTTGCTCAGACGCTTAACATTCTCGGAATACGGTTAATCGTGATGTTCTTCTAAAATCTCAATGCTTAATTTCTCCACAAATTCAGTAAGGTGGCACAAGTCCTTTTTAACTGGTAGTAGGCAGTGCACTAGGGTCAATAATATGAATTCTCCATTTGCTGACGATCCTCAAGGATCTATTTTAATGCCTCTTCTTTTTAGTCTCTATATTAATGAAACCCACTTGTACTCGTTTGCCCTGAATTTGACATCTGAAATCTTCTGATGAGTACCATTTATATTATGTTTTAATGAAGTTAAACCATTTAGAAACGTGTGTAGCTTCGTAGACTTTGTTAAGTATTTCTTTTCTAGTGTGACTCTTTGCTGTTTTGTTTTTATTGTCTATGTCTTGTATTTTGTTGGCTGTGTCCTGCCCAGGGACTACAAAATTGTACGTGATCTTTTTATCTAACTCTGCTGCTGGACCAACTGTAGACAGTGTTGACCTGACAGCTCGTTACAATTCCTTGTGATTTCTTATGTTTATCCTCTGTCAGTGTAGATAGACCCTTAGATCATTTCCTCCCTTGTCTCCCGAGTCGCTGCACTCGACTGTACTCGAGAAATTAATCGGGCAGAATCCGGGACCCGTGAAATGAAGTCTGTTCCCCTGGAAACCCACCTCACGGAGCCGAGGTTACTGAAGGATTTCCTCGCTAGTTGTACTGTCCGTACTAGTGAATCGCGAGTTGGCTTTTTTTTTTTCACCCGCACCCGCCCGCGGTTGTGAGAAACGATCCCACCCCCGCCCGACCCGATCTAAAATCTTGGTTTTTTTAACCCGAGCCCCTCCACCGACCCGCGGGTAAAAACGCACCCCCGCGGGTGTGAGTTTACCCGCGCATCGCTAGGCTGTAGCGATGTGTTTGGTGTCTCTTTGAACAAAAACAATACCACTGCACACAATTGAAGCTGTCTGCTTTACTGATTATTATTTTCCGGGCTCCTTTTGTTCGTTTGTTTTACGACAGAAACGGTTTGTGTGTTTGAATGCGCTTACAAGTAGTGACAGTTGAGTGATAATGCTCATGAACCAACTGTTCATCTCCAGGATACCTGATGTTGTTACCGAGCATTGTTTGAATAAGAGTTAATAATTAAATTGACGTCGGTTTCGTACACGAGAGGATGAGTTTGCTCCCCTGGAAGGACAGAGGTTTCCCTGTGTTCACTCAGGAGCACAGCTGAATTCTGCTTTGTACCCCCGGCGATATGGCGGTGGGAGACGGGGAAACAGTTCAAACGAAGTATTTGCAGGAGCTCTAGACAGAAGGTAGTGCTGTCACCCGATCAGACCCCCCGTCGCCTGTCTGCGCTTCAAACCCCTCGCACCTGGTGTTAACTCGTGCCAGCTGGCTCGCCTGAGGTACAGTGGATATGAAAGAGTCTACACACCCTTATTGAAATTGCAGGTTTGTGTAGTGTAAAACGGAAATCAAGATAATGTCAGACGTTTTTCCGTCTTTAATGTGACCTTGCATTCAACAAAATTCACGACAAAACCATAGTTATTAGGAACAATAATTGAAATTAAAAAACCTACAACACACTGGTTGCACCCACCTCAACTAATACTCTGTGGAAGCACCTTTTGCATTTATTACAGCAGTGAGTCTTTGTGAACAAGTCTCTATCAACTTTGCACACCTGGGCTTTGCAGTTTTATCCCACTCTTCCTTGCAAAAAAGTTCAAGCTCCTTCAGAGACAATATTGAGCCAGTTTCCCTTTTCAAATCTGTGCTAACCGAACATCTTAATGACTGGAAACCACGTGGGAGTGCATTTAAAATCAACAACAGGAGGCACATCTTTGCGCAAAGGGTAGTGGGAGTGTGGAGCAAGCTGCCCACCCATGCTGTTGAAACCGATACCGTTGAAGGGCAGCCCCTGTAAAACCTCACCTCGAATGTAAACTGTGATGTAGTTCTTCTTCTGTAGGAGGAGGAGAGAATGTGCAGTTCAGTCATCTGCCACTCAAAAAAAGAAGCAGTTTTAATAATCCATCTCCTGGAAACAGCGGATTAATATCCAGGTTTAGAAATGCTTTATTGGTAATGGTAAGCCACACGTAATGACTATAAAGCTAATGCTAATTAGTGAGGAAACTAGGTGTCTTCAATTGCTGCAGCAGCAGCCATATCATCCTGCAACTCACAACTGGCAGCCCTACTGAAGCCCAGCAGGTGTGAGCCTGGTCAGTACCTGGATGGGAGACCTCCTGGGAAAAACTAAGGTTGCTGCTGGAAGACGTGTTAGTGGGGCCAGCAGAGGAGCTCACCCTGCAGTCCATGTGGGTCCTAATGCCCCAGTATAGTTACGGGGACACTGTACTGTAAAAAGGTGCCTTCCGGTGGATGAGACGTAAAACCAAGGTCCTGACTCTCTGTGGTCATTCAAAATCCCAGTGCGTCTTTCAAAAAGAGTGGGGGTGTAACCCCGGCTTCCTGGCCAAATTTCTCATTGGTCTTTACCAGTCATTGCCTCCTAATAATCCCCCTCTATGAAGTGGCTTCATCACTCTGCTCTCCTCCCCACTGAGAGCTGGTGTGTGGTGAGAGTACTGGTGCACTGTGGCTGCTGTCACGTCATCCAGGTGGGGCTGCACACTGGTGGTGGTGGAGGGGATCCCCATTACCTGTAAAGCGCTTTGAGTGGAGTGTCCAGAAAAGAGTTATATATGACTGTAAGCAATCATTATTATTTGTTGATTGAAGACAGCTAATATCTACTGGAAGATCGTGTTAAAATCACATAGAGACCAGTCAGCCCATCTAGATAGTTTTGTAGTTAATCAGTTCATCCCTCGCTGTTCACAATTATCATGTTAGTTAATAAATCTTGTGCATTCAAAGACAGGATAAATCCCAAACCCATAAAAATAAGAGTATCATGCTGTCTGGTGATGTACAGTAGATAGCCGTTTCTCTGGTGATATTCATAGTGTCCATAAAATAAAACATTTTACTATAGAAAATGCCAAAAGTTGTGAATCAATATTATTTTTACAAACCAGACATTCAAGATATTAATCTATACCATAATACCATTACGATTTCTGTTAATGTTGCTTAAGCGAATGTGAGGAGTTCTGAGGTTTACTGATAAGAAGTCTGTGAGTTCACAGTGAGCAGGATGAAATAAAGAAATCAGCTTGTATCTAGAGCTACCGGTTTTCATATTCGAATATAGTGACTAAATAACTGCAAAAAGATATTTAAATTTCATCGTGCATGCAAATGACAACAAGAGAGTTATAATAAAAAAGCAAAAGAACAAGCCACAAGCTTGGAGCTCATATAAGCAGAGGAACTCGAGTCTTCTAACGACTCTAACCAAAATAGACATGTTTTCTGTACTGCTTGTTTTAGAGAGTACTCATTTACTGAGGAACGAGTGAAGTTAATTTATCACAAGAGCTTAACCAGCTGTTTCTTAGAGGAAGTCAAGGTATCGGATTCAACAATATGGCTGGGCAGCTAGTTCCACACTCCTACTACACTTTGTGTAAGGAAGTGCCTTCTGTCCTTGGTTTTAAACACACATCAGCCCACTTGCACTCGGCTGAGCGGGCCCTGGGGGGCAGCTTTCTGGGCCTTAATCCCGGATGGTGGGAAAGTCTTCCCAGAGAGTGGAAAATGGAAACTCGTGACCCCAGATTTAACGCTCGCTTCCGGGCAGAAAGAAACGGAGATGTGTATCGGAGACGAAGCCCTGAGGTTTCCCTGCCAGCGGTCAGGGTGCTCACGGTGCTGTCAAACGCATTCTCAGCAGGCGTGTCTGTGGGCTGGTGCTGAGAGGTGTGTGTGTGTGTGAGTCTGAGAACGCGTCTGCAGGTTCTGAACGGCTGTAGTTGAAACAGCTATGGGCTCGGCCCCGCAGAGGCGGGAGGTTTTCTGAACCCTGCTGCAAGATTGTGGTTTCAGACTCGGCAGGCAGGTGCTTTGGCAAGACTTTTACACACTTCTTCAGAGCTTGCAGTCTGGTTATGTCCCACACACACACATACACGTTGCAGCCACATTACACTCAGATGGGTTCCTGTTTTTAGAAGGCAGGAGATTCTAAGAGCCCTTTATACCTGTGTAGAAGTAACCCATTAACACCTTATTAGTGATTTTGTCAGCAGTATCGTAAAGAATAATGATTAATTATTGTCATAATTCGCATTCTCACATGCTTTTAAAACTAGGTTTCAGTGCTGCTGGCTCCTACTTTTAAAAAGGAGTCCATCATTGTGACACGGTACCTGGGTTAATACAAAGCTGACAGTTGACTGAAAAAAAAGCCCAGACGCCGCAG